CCTGAGCGCGCGGGCGCAGTACGCAGGCGCCGGGATGCGGCCGCTCCGTGGCGTCCCCGTCTTTCCTCGGCGGTAACTGGGACTTCCTGTATTTGCTCCCTGTGTGCATGGAACAACGGTAGCGCAGACAGGGATGCTGCAGACAGACAATACAGTCGCCACTCCTCAGGACCAAGTGTCACCCCATTTCTTCTGTGGCCCCCCGCTCCAGCGCCATGTGCTCAGAGAAGCCTTAGGTTAATCCTTAGGCTTGGCCGGGCGCGGTGGTTCACGCTTGTAATCCCAGCACTTTGGGAGGCCGAGGCGGGTGGATCTCTTGAGCCCAGGAGTTGGAGATCAGCCTGGGCAACATGGTGAGACCCCCATCTCTACAAAAAAGACAAGAAATTACGCAGGCGTGGTAGCGCCTGCCTGTGATCCCAGCTATTTGGGTGGCTGAGGCAGGAGGGCCGATTGAGCCCGGAGGTCGAGGCCTCAGTGAGCTGTGATGGCACCACTGCACCTCAGCCTAGTTCCACAGAACAAGACCCTGTCTCAAAAAAAAAAGTAGAACTATTTGTAGCCAGTAATCTATGTTCGACAGTTTATTAGAACTCTGTTGCTGCGTAGCAATCACCCCAAAGTTTAACGCAATAAACATTTGTTGTCCCACAGGTTTTAGAGGTCAGGGATTTGGGGATACGTGGCTGGGTGGTTCTGTCTCCAGGTCTGCCATGAGATTACAGTCAAAGTGTAGGCCAGGGCAGCAGTTATTGATTAGGGCCGGAGGATCGGCCTCCAGGATGGCACACTCATGACTGTTGGCCGGAGACCTGTTTTTCACCACGTGAACCTCCCCATAGGGCTGTTTGAGTGTCCCCATGACATGGCAGCTGGTCTCCCTCAGAGCAGGTGATCCCAGAGAGACCAAGGCATAAGCCACAATGTCTTTTATGACGTAGCTCCAGAGGTCACATATGGCTTTTGTCATATTTACAAACCAACCCTCTGTGTGAGAGGATCCACCCGAAGGTATAAATGCCAACAGACAGGGATCGCTGCAGGCCATCCTGGAGGCTGGCTACCAGAGAGGATCTAATTAATGATAACTTAGATGAGAGAGTATCAAGTTTCATCCTTGTATGATAACCGTAGTCCAAATTCTTAGAGTCAAATAAAGTTTCTCCCAATAGGTGGCAGCACTTGTCCACATCCTGCCCTTGATTCTGCAAATAAATATGTATTGATTGCCTACTTTGTGACAGATAACCCCACATGCCGGAGACTCAGAGACCAAAAAGACATGTTTCTGTCCATGCAAAGTTTACAGTTGAGTGAATCAGCTCTTGCAGTAGAGTGTAAAAAGTGTCTGCTTTATGATAGACATACAGACCTGAGGATTGGGGTTGTTAGAAATGTTTGTTTTTTTGATGTTGTAAAGAAACAGCACTTGAATATAAATTTAATTTTTTTAGCAAGGCCATTTTTACTTTTTGTGGAAAGGGTATACTTGCCAATTTTGTCACGAGAGCACACTGAACAAAGGAGACAAGGTCGTTTATAACCTGACGCATCCACTTTACTGCTGTCTGGTTTTTATTGGCTGGAACGGGACTTTATGTTTTGTATTTGTGTTGATTGGCTAGTAATTTAGAACTTTTTAAAAGAGGCAAAGGCAGAGGAGAGCAAAAGAAGGAGGAAGTAACTTGTGGAATTCGTTGAGAAAGGTAAAAACCCCTTTAAATAAGGAAGAGGAACAGGCTGTGACTTAATGTTTGTTTGGACTAATGGAAGTATGTTAGGGCAAATATTTAGGCTAAATTGTGGGAGTTCAGAACATAAAGTGCATTGACTTTTTTATTATGGCTAGCAGATATTTAAGAATGTTACCACAGGTCTTTGAATAAATTTTGGTTTTAAGAGTGTACATAGAGGTTTGCCGTGCCCATAGAATTCTTTAGTAGTGAGCAATGAGGAATGGTGCCAGGACCAGGTTGACTCTGTGTGAACAGAGTGATGGACAGCACAGGTACATCCCAGATAAAGAAGAGCCTTGGGCTAAGCACAGGGTTTGGGACACATTCTAGAATGTATGGGAAGCCGCTAGACAGTTTGTAGCAGGGGGTCTTTACTATCAGGGTTCTTAGGTAGAAGCTGACTCTGGCTCAGCAGAAAAGGTGAGTATTAAAAGGATGCTGTATAGCTCAGGGAATTCTAGGGAGCATGCAGAAGTGGCCCCAGGCTAAGCTTCCAAGAATGAAGCTCAGAACCAAGCTGAAAACTGGCCTGATAAGGAAACTACTATGACCGGGATTGCTACTGGAGGAAACCCCCATCACAACTGCTGGGACGCACTGGGGAATGGCTGCCACTGCCGCTGTTAACATCAAATCCCATATGCTTTTGCAGCCTCCTACATAATGCTAAACTTCCAAAAGAGCCTGTTTCTTCCCCTCGCTCACTTCCACATCAAAAGCTCATAGGGGTGTCTGATTGAGGAAGTCTGAGCCCCACACATGAGTCCTGGCTACAAAGGAGACTGGGAATTTGGGGTCTGAACTCCTTCCTCGGGGAGGCAAGACGTAGAATATTGGAATTTCCTCCCGAAAAAGGGAAGGCTATTCAAAAGATGGTAGGAAGCCTTGAATCTGACAGGTGTACACTAACTACTAGGGGCAGGCTCAGATCTGTAATGTGAATCTATCACTAGAGATTATGATAGGATGTGGGGGATACATTAGGGTTTCTCAACCTCAGCACTATTGACATTTTGGATCACTTAAGTCTTCGTTGCAAGAGGCGGTTCTGTGCGTAGAATGTTTAGCAGCATCCATGGTCTCTATCCACAAAATGCAGGTAGAACACTCTCTCTCCCCAGTTGTAAGAACCAAAGATGCCAAATATTCCCTGGGAGGAAAAACCACCTTGAGAACCACTGGATTAGAGACCAGCTCTGTCTCTATAGATTTTTAAAAAAATAATCTGAGCATGGTGGTCCCAGCTAACTAGGGAGGCTGAGGCGGGAGAATGCTGGAGCCTGGGAGGTTGAGGCTGCAGTGAGCCGTGATCACACCACTACACTCCAGCTTGGGTGACAGAGTGAGACCCTATCTCAAAAAATTAAAATTAGAAATAAAAAGAGGGAGAGAGAGGGACAAAGTTTGGGTGGGGGGTGCAGTAAGAATTTTCCCAATTTGATCTGTAAACTTCAGTAATTATTTGAATCTTTTATCACAAGAATGTGTTCACGTGTTTATTGGATACTTAAGAAAAATGTTATTAGGAATATTAGCATCTGATCATAGTGAGGAATGCTGTTTTCTGCTGCAAGGGCTAGATAGAATATTTGAATATACTTTATTTCAGTGGCTGTCAACTGTGGCGACTGCCTGACAGGAGACATTTGGGTAGGAAGTTGTGGTGCTACTGGCATCTAATAGGTAGTGGTAGGGATGCTGCTAAACGTTCTTTTATTTATTTATTTATTTATTTTTGAGGCGGAGTCTCGCTCTGTTGCCCAGGCTGGAGTGTGGTGGCACAGTCTCAGCTCACTGCAACCTCCACCTCCAGGGTACAAGCCATTCTCCTGCCTCAGCCTCCCAAGTAGCTGGGATTACAGGTGTGTGCCACCCTTCCCAGCTCGTTTTTGGATTTGTAGTAGAGACAAGTCTTTACCTCATTGGCCAGCCTTGTCTCGAATTCCTGACCTCAAGTGATCCACCTGCCTTAGCCTCTCAAAGTGCTGGGATTACAGGCATGAGCCACTGCGCCTGGCGTGCTAAACATTATATAATAGACAGGACAACCCCCTACAACCAAGAATTATGTAGCTCAAAATGCCAGCAGGACCGAAGTAGGGAAATCCTGGTCTACCTGAATTGGACTCACACCACTGATTCCCAAATGTTTCAGAGTAATATCACACTATCTTGTTTGTTTGGTTCCATAATACCCTTCATATTTCAAAAAGTCATACATATATGCATTTAAATTTTAGCATGAATTTAAATTCATTTTGAAATGCAATAATATAATGTGACTCCCTTCTAGATAACTAGTAACAATGGAAGGAACCGACATGGGTAGGTTCATTTGTCAAAACCAAGAGAGCATCGCTGCTCTAAATGGTTCCAGAGCGTGGCTGGTGTGAGGAGTCACAGTCTGAGTCAGTCATTGATGTCCACCCAGAAACATCATTACACAGACATCAATGGAGTGTGTGGCCTGGGACAGAGCAGGGACAAGAGGAGGAGCTACTGCTGGGTGATGGGATGATTCTGCCAGACTTCTCCCCAGCCCTCCCAGGGTGAACTGTAGGATGACTCATCACCTCCAGAGCCACATGAACTCCAGGCAGCTGCTTC